TGTCAGCCGATGGACTCAATCATTGCTGAACGGCCTGACGGCGGCTTCGTTTACGACAACTGCTTTAGGTTTGACTGCACATTTAACCTTCGATTTAGTAGAAATGAACGATTGATCGAGGCCACAAACCTCCCCATGCGCATGAAGAAAACGGGAACCACACTTGCAGGCGTCATTTTCAAGGTTTACTCATCATCCCTAGTATGAATTTCTTAGGACGGTGTCGTTCTGGGTGCGGATACTCGCGCTACGGAGGGATCGATAATATCAGATAAAACTTGCATGAAAATCCACTTTATTTCCGACAACATTTAGTATGTCACTTTCTCTTCCCCACAACTATGTGTAGTTGCTGTGGTGCCGGCACTGCCGCTGATACCCAGATGGTCACTCGAATGATCTCGTCCCAAATAGAACTTCACCGCCTAAATACGGGGAGAAGACCTCGTGTCATCACTGCCCTTCGTTTATTAAAACAGCATCTCTTTAAATATCAGGTAACGCAGATCTCCACATGACAATTTCCAAGGGCCACGTTGGTGCTGCATGCATTCTTGGTGGGGTAGACAGTTTCGGTCCCCATCTTTACGGCGTACACCCACACGGTTCAAGCGATGCTCTGCCCTACATGACTATGGGCAGTGGCTGTCTGGCGGCTATGTCCGTTCTGGAAGCCAACTTCAAACCCCAGATGGACGTAAGCTTTGCATTTACATGTTACCTTTGTAGTGTATGCGTGCAGTTACAAGCAGATTGTTTAAGTTTCATGGTTGTCAAAGTTGTATTAAAAAAGCCTAAAATGATTATGTACCGGATCAGGGCTGTATTAAAGCGATTTCGTTTGTGGGCAGCCTACACCGTCTCTCAAACGCAGTGAAGTTGTAAACCGCACTGAAAACCACGCTTGTTCAGTAGATTAGGGGCAAAAATAATGGAAGAGGTAATTAACCTATAACCCAAGACAAGAATCCCGGACCGTTCGTGTGCAAGTCCTTCACGGGCGTCAAGGGGCCTCTTCAGACGCTTTTAAAGGCAATCTCCAGCTCACTCTGTCCTACCGGTAGTAACGTACGCTTCTGTGTATGAGGAATTCAGGTGCACAATCGGAAGCTCACTTTTTATAGCCTCATGTATACTAAAGCCATTATGACCTTTCTTCACCTTACTGCCGCTAAAATGAATGAATGTCATCAATGATTGCGTAAAAAAGTGAGTACAAGATCAACCACATTCCGCCTGCCATGAAAACGAAATTAAGAAGTCTAGAGCGAATAGTCATTATAGTATGGAAGTCTGCCGGCTGCGTCGAACTTCCTTTGTCGCGAAGTCGTGCATTAGTCTGTAGGACGTCGACCGTAATGCCCACAGTGCACAGATAGGATTCCGCAGCAGGTCGCTTCAAGACTGCGAAATGTTCGGCAGCGTACAACATGACATTTCACAAATGTATGCGGGTGTTCAAGTTCCAGGCGTTTGTGTGAATGAAAAAGAAGTTAGGTCAAGCACTGGAACGGTTAGTTCATTATTCTATATTGAACGCAGGACCTGTTTCGCAGGCCTTGGTAGTTGTTTGCTTTGTACGGCCAGCTGATGTTCATGTATACAGGACAAAAACATGCGTTCAGTCCGACCTGTGTAGTTACAAGGATAGTTTGGGCACGAAATGTGGTACACTATCTCAGACCCCCCTGGGTCCTAGTCAGTCTTTGATTCCCATGACCTCGCCCTTTAGCCCCGCTCCATCAGATCGTCACCTGTAGGGAGGTGCAATTCGCGACATCGAGGCTGGTTAGATCAGACATGATTACAGCTGTACCAAGTACAGACAGGTACAGGATTATTGTCATGTATGTGCATGCGACCGATAAAACCGTGAGTTGGCTGAACATCCGGGTGCAGTGTGAGCAAGAGAGATGCGAGTGACGAGTGTTGGTTGGGGCTCTAGAAACCGTACCTTCAGTCCCGCTGCAATGGATTCGCAAATGACCTACCAGACCGAAGCAGGATTAGAATATGCAACTGCACTGTGACAACTGCTGTAGATGCTCACCATGCAAGTCGACTCCAGACCTCGCGATCCCAGAGTCCGTTCTTATCTCTTTACCTTTTATAACCGTTGGAGACACTTTAGGAAGAATTAATGAGGATTTCGTGCCAAGCTGTGGTAATTTCCCAAGGTCTTCGTATTATAGGGTACGGCCATTATGATAACAGCCCCGTTAATCTCCGGCTTCGTGCCGACTCCACAGCAATTTCGGACCTTGTGTTGCGGCCTATCAATTTCGGGATGACTTTTGAAACTGCTGGCGCGGCTTGGTCTGTGGCAAATGCTTTGTCTTTGTTGGTTAGCTTGAAATTATCGTATCCAAAGGCGAATAGGCCCAAACTTGTTCATTTGCCCGCTTCAGTTCTGGTGTGCGGTGCGTAGTCGCCATAATAGATGAGGTCATGTGATGTATCCCTGAAGGTCTTTATTCTTCCGTCCGGCGGATACTGAATAGTCTTCCGTCTGTTCTATGGTCACTCGTTGCCTGGTCGACCCTTAGTAGACATCCACTAGCACTTCGGAGAGCATGAGACTACGGGTTGGGTGGGGGCGCAAACTTGCTTCATCCCGCTTGCAAAGGCGTAAAAGCGTGCGTCTGGAACTTGCCTTTAGTTACCTACTTGTCAGGAATTTTCGGTGTCACGTCTGCAAGCAGCTTGAGTAGTCTTCAGTCCTCTGTTGATTTCCACAGCTCCGTACATTTGCTTCCATATCCGTGGACGCCTTTTAACACCTCAGCATTCATAGGGCCTTCTGAACTCCTAGCACTTCATTTCACTAACAGCGGCTGGAATTTTTGTCATCACGTGGCGAGAGAGCAAACCAAATTGGATGATTCGACTCTCCCACGAAACTGGTTTTGGAGCCTGGATTTAACTATCTGATTTCCTTGTTGGGAGCCATATCGAGGCGTGCGGCTGGTTTTGTCTTTTACGCTTGAGACATTACTGCTTGATTCTTCTAGGTTAGGATCGGTGGCCATATCACCTTGCAATAGCCATAAAGACTCGGTCCATGTCACCATCTGGTTGCCCTAGGAACGACGGATTGACCGATTTCGCTGTCCATAGGTTTTTCTGCTGACTAAATGAAGATGGAGTTCGTATAGCCTGTCTCTGTTTACTATAGCAGTACGAAATACTTTACGCGCAAGTGACCGTGCCTACTTCACCTTGCTGTGAAGCACACAGCAGACATCGTCGGATGCGACGGTCGAACTGTCAGTCAGTTAGATGCCTTGCTCAGATTTACAAATTCTTAGTGTTTGCTCCCAATAACTGATCTCTCTTTCTCCTAATTTGGCCCTAACCGAAAACTCGAGCTAGGTAGTCACGTCATATATAGAGTGCGATAGAACTTAACCGTTAGTCCTGCTGAACTTTAAATGGTGGATTGGGAACATCACGAACATGACTGCGTATCAGGCTCGATAATGATCCTCGACAATTTGTTTCTGCGATTCATTGACTTACTTCGTTCGTAACTTATATCAACCTTGACACATCATGGCCGCCACAGCGGCAAGCACCATGAACGTTTTTGGTCTGCGCTCCCGCCATTCACTACTTCATTGATAATCGTAAGCTGTCGTAAAATATTACAAGGGTTGCATGTTTTTGCAAGTGCCTTTCTTGCGTTGACGTTCACCACGATCCATGAAACCTTCAATACTTTCTAAATCCTCGCCCCTCCCACGTTTTGTTTGAAGTTCAAACTAAAACACAATCGTTGCTGTAGAATAACTAAGAGGTCAGATGTGCCCAGAAAAATTCGGATCTTCGTTTTTGTTTGGCGTCTTTTTATTCGAGACATCCTGACTTCTGGGGAGATTTTCATGATTGCATTATAGGCATTGAGCAGATGCTTAAAAACATGCTTTAAAAGTATTCCCTAGAGGCCTGACATAACCTGTGGGACTCCCTCTATCACTTGAAACTTCTTTTCTCGGGTGCCGCGAGAACCCAGCAAACGGATAGTTTCAAAGTTCTCGGTTGCCCGAGTAAGGAGACGTCTATTTCAAAGATGCAATAAAAGTACGTCTTTACTAATCTATCGTCTAAACCGAGGTTCCATGTGCCCACAGGATTCTTCATAAAAACTCAAATGTACATAGGTGGTAGTTCGATTGCACATTTCTCCGAGATTCATAGCTACCTCCCGCACAACTGTTAAGTCCTCTGTCTTAAACTGTATTAGGTTTATCATTATATGTTATAGAGATATCAGCCCCATCATTCCGTCTTAGATTTTAACTGCAGTACGATCTTCTCAGGAGCAGTAATTTAAAGGCTTGGCAAACACCTATTTTTACATCTACCCTATACATTTTGTTTTGCACTCCCGAGCTGATTGCGAGGATTGAGTCAGGCAGGGCGGGGATGCGCTGCCAGTTCAGATTTTGCAGACCTTTTGGGTAAGTGGGACGAAGAGACCCTCTCTCATGTATCGGCCTATCGCAATGACGGCCTGCTGACTGTCTTCATATCATCCATTCCTATGCTATGTTACTTCAGCTGTCAGAGCCTATGATGCACGCCCTTTTAAATTGTTTGTACCCTCCCCCCGTTTTTCTTATAATCAAAAAAACATCGTTTAATAACATTGAACCTTTTATCTTAAAATCACAGAAAGAAGAGGCCATGGAGCTAGTAATGCAGGCCATCCGGGCAGGTGTCTTCAATGACTTATACTCTGGCACTGGCGTCGACCTGTGTGTCATCACGAACAAGGATGCAGAATACATCCGTTGTTTCGACGTTTGTTGCAAGAAGGGTGTCCGGTAGGTGTTTTGTCCAGTGCCTGAACCTTCACAATCAGCCGCCTTTCGTACGAGAAGATAATTAGTGGAAGTATCAGTAACTCCATCGTTGCAAACATCCCACTTTCCTCAATTTTTGCTCTAGCAACTTCTTGTTTTGTCCCTTCTGGTAGTGGCGCCCGGTATCTCCCAAAGGACGGTAAGACAGAGATACTGCAAAGGCGTTTGCAGAAGGTCGAGTACGATGTAGTCACTACTCGCGTTATCCGAGACGTGGTGGCCCCCGAACCAATGGAGATGTAACCCCGTTACTCCTGTCGCCTCTAACTCTTTGAGGCGTTTCATGGACCTGTTGCCCTTGTACTTTGATCAAAAATAAAAAATACCCCCTACCGTGGTTGATTGTTAACCGAAAGACAGATATATTCATAGCAAGAAACTTTTTTTCCAAACTAACGACTACGAGCTCTTCAAGTCTATTTCTAATTGACTTAGAGCCCTAGACGACTTAAATTCTTATGGCTTGCTCAGCCAAGTTCTTCGACAAAATAAACTGTTCCTGCAGAAGAACGTCTGGGATGAAAGTTAAATCCTCTCAAGAGTTAGGACCGTATCGTAACGTTTAGCAGTGCTGGAGGAAGGTTAACGCAACGACCGGAATACTTTAGCATCTAACGCTATACATTTTTCTCACGCAATGTGTGGTGAGAACCCGAAACCAATCAGGGTTATGGCTGCAGGTTCGATTCCAGACATCTGAGATCAGCTCATATAATTGGAGTCCTCCGAATAGGTGGGCGTCCGATTTTACACCCGCGTGCGTTGGGATTTGCTCTGCCTCGGCCGCCATGACTACTTTAATTTTTCAACGTCGCCACCGTGCCGTCCGAGAAGTCATATCTATTGCTAGTTGTCAGAGACCCGTCAGTCAAAGGTCGGCTCACTATTCAGGAAACGCTGCCAACAAGGAAGTGAGACCAACGCAACCCCTACCAGGTCAGTTGCCGTCGTCAAACAGTCATACTCGAGCTCCGAGCCAGGAAGGGTTAGGACGCAGGTTCTGGTCTGTGATCATAAGGTCCGATGCTCTCAACGTAAGCCACGGCTTCATGTTCCGCCGATTACTGCCTGCGAAGGTCCCAGACCGGAGCTCAAAGAGAAAATGGAAATGTCCGCCTTGTAATTGGGATAGACCGGCGAGAGTGACTGCTCTATTAGTGATTCGATTGCTTCGAGTGACGGGAAGGTTCGTTAGTCTCGGGTCTACTGTCTGCGTCCCAAGCCCGATAGCATATGGCGATGGAAAGGCACTCTCATTAATAACCACAATCCCATGCCCGAATGTAACTGATGGCACCCCGAACTTTACCATGTTTCGCAGAAATATGTGGTGTTTGCGAACCCTAGTACCGGCACAAGTTCTTGGGAGTCTGCCAGAGCGACGAACTACTTTCAGACTCATCTCGGTCCGTCATGGCGTTATTAAGTCCTCAGACTTGGATAAGGCCCATCAGCAGCCGTTCACATGCGACCTGTCGAAGATGCCGGCAACTGAGGCAATCGTGCAATAATTGGAAACTGTACAGCGAATGTGCGGACCCTGTGTTAAACGCGTCCGATGAGATGAAACATTTGCGTGACCGGCTGAAACCACAGAGATCCAGGACTGTTATCTTACTGCCACCCGCGTGTGGGCAGGCTTACTAGTCGCGGGTTTGTCAGTTGAAATTCATCGGAGTTAGTAATTATCCTAAGCAAAAGTCACATCTGACAGGCGGTGGACGAGAGCGTATGAAACAAAACAGATCAGGATATAGTTGCCCAGCAGGGTACGGCGACTCGAAGGCGCAGAGTATTGTCACGGGCATTCCTGTGGCACAACTCCAGCTACAAGTCGGAGAATTGTTATTAATAGGAACTAGCCTACTAGCCAAGTGTTCCAACCAGTGAACTCTTGAGCATTGATTACTGGACGAGCAAAAAAAGGAAGGGGGCGAGGTAAAAACAGTCACCAGACACTTCTCAGCGACCTTGGCCCTATCTCGATTAGCAATAAGTATTGCTGCGGGGGCACGGAGTCCGCTGGGCTACTGTAAGAACGAAAGACAGTTCTGTTGGCTTGCCTTTCAGCTGTAAGTGTGTGTGTGTGCAGCCAAACAAGGCCTGAAATTCTTCGTGTTGCGTCTTTTCTGTTTGCCAGCCGCAGTAACTGGTGCATACGGAATAGCACACGTAAACCCACTGGATTCCAAAAAACAAGCCGTCGGGAGTTTATTCGTAGATACAGATGAAAGTAGAAGACATGATTTTATAAAAATCTTGATCTACTTTCAGCTTCCTAGATCAGGCATCAAGGCAGCCCCGTCGGTCCGCTCCTACAAGTCATAATTCACTACGTGGAAGTCGATGGGTTGGCCGGACTTGATACTCTCCTCACAACAGGTTGCCAGTCTGGAAATGTTCAATACATCATGTCCGCTAACCTCCGTTTTTTCTGCACCTATAAGAAAGAGAGCAAGATGGCAGGGTACAACTCTAAACGAAATGAGGAGTCATTCTGAATCAAATCTAAATGATAAAAATAAATGCGCAACTTGACCGATGGGGTCTCCAGTGTAGTCTTTTGTGACGAACTGATGCCATGAGTAGCTGATATTTTATAAGCTAGCACTGAAGTATATGACACCGGGGGACGGTCTTCACTGGTGCTTCGATCACATCCATTACCAGATTTCCAGATCGCTAAGGAGCAAGTGACGAACACAGGCCTTAAGTCGAAAGTCATGAACACCTAGCAGCAAGATGACGAGTGGTAAATGCCACCACCAAAGCGTATATCTGGGAGATGACTCGAATTTTGCTATAAAAAAGCTGAAATTTCAGAAAGAGGTATCTGCCAGAAGGCACACAGGTAACGCCGGGGGCCCATTGATGAGCCGAATCCACTGCAATTGTCATGCGTCGGCAGAATGTCGGCAAAACACGTGTCTGGGTTTGTAGCTAGTGCCAGTGCTGTGAGAATGGTAACTTATGCGACATATCACTCGAATGATTGATATATGCCAGGACCGCCTACTGAGGACATATGGAGAAAAATTGGGGTCGGACGAGTGCTCCTGAGCTGATCCCCGCGACTGACGAAAACAGGCCGCCTCGACGACAATACCCACAGAAAGGGTGAAATTGAAGTAGAGGCCGCCGGCCGTGCACTCGCGGAATGATCCCCAGTCTGTTACATCCAGGACCTCGGCAACCTCGAACTACAAGTAACTGACAATTTGGAACATTTGGCAAAGCCTAAATAATACGGTTCAAGAGTCTTGTGCATTTTCGTCTGTGACGGCCCTGAACCATACATTGTCTATGCACGCACTGGTATTCTCAGCCATTGAGCAATCGAAAATCAGAACCCATTCCGATAACAATCGGGAGAGGGCACCCAAATATCCGTTGCCTAGAAATAATACTTGTTATACCTATTTGAGTAGGTTATGGCCCTACATATTTGTTGTTTCATCGGACCTCAATTTTATCTGATCTGCAGTGCACATGCTGCCTCACTTAGATTATCATAGTCTCCAACAGTTGAGATGCGACCGCTGCCGACCGAGCCATGGTTAATCAACTCTGACTTAGGCTTACACGGCTGAAGAGTGACAGCAGTAGTGGGGTTGCGGCTAAATCTACACTTGCATATCTTAGGAAAGTTGAGAAACGATCGCTGTATATCGACCATTGGTTTGCCATCCTTCACATATGCATGCTTAGGTCACGAGCGACGACAACAGTCCACTTACGGCTTACTTTTGACCAGCATAGCTTAGGAAAGTTGGAGAATGATCGCTTTAGACCCATCCTATGTTTACCAACCTTGACATTGGCTTACACAGCTGAAGAGCGAGCGCAGTAGTCGATATGCGGCTTAATCTATGGTAGCATACGTTCAAACACTTACGATACGATCGTTGCGGACCGGCCCTTTGGCTTATCCATTATGACCATTTCTGCCTAAGGTGAGGAATGACCGCAGTTGTAGGTATGGGGTTCAATCTATGTCACCACAACAATCGCCGTAGACCCACCCTACGTTAAACAACCTTAATATAAGCTTCCACTGCTGACAAGCGACCACAGTAGTCCCGATGCGGAGTATTCCATAGTAGCTTACCTATGGACAATTGTGATACGATCGCCGTTGACCGAACACTTGGATTGTCAATTTTTACCATTACTTCCAGAGATGAAGGGGCTGCCGCAGTCGCCAGTGTGCGGCTCAGTCAGTGACTGCATAGTTAAGGACAGTTGTGATAAGATCGCTGCTTTGGCCGGCTGTATTTTTTGGGTGCCCTCTCCCGATTGTTACCCCCATTGCAAACCTTCTGCCACCGCCACAACAAATTGCTTACCTCTCAGAACTCCGCCACCCCAAAAACGAGCACGGGCTACCCCTGCAGCGTCTGCGTTCCCAATCTTTGGGACGCATTTCTCGTACAAGACATGGACCGTCCTGTCGTCCCCAACAACAAACTGCAACGACCTCTCCTACAAGCTCAACATTTGCTTGGCGATGGCCTCCTACCTAACATCATTCAGCCTATGAATACATGCGGCCTCTGTTTATAATGAATGGCCCACTGACACTTGTCAGGCACATGGGAAATAAAATCTCGCATTAGGTCAACGGTAGGTTGTGCTCACTGACACTTCTGGCAGAATCCTGAAAGCATAAATCATTTATTTGGCTCGAACCGCGCACATATGCCACATCGATGCTGACTGGTCGCAGGTCGCCGAGAGGCTGTGCGATTCACCTCAGCCCTAATTCGCCAGTCACCTGTTATAAATCCACCGTTCCCTAGATACGTAATGTAGGCAACACCATTTATACAGCCATTGGTTGACGCGGAGGCGACGAAAATTGTTGCACAGGGGGTACAGATAATTGATCTGGGTAGCGATGCCCGACTGTCCAGCGTCCTTGGCTAAGACAGCGCGGCAGATGGAGTGGATGTTTTCCCAGTTTCTTTTAGTTGGCCCCTTATGAACCGGCGACGATGTGGACTATGCGCCTTGAAGAGTGGTAGTCACATATTCGTTCCCAGGTGCATGTTAATGCGTTCGAAAGTTCTAAACTTCTCTCATAACTTTTGGCAAATATGTTTTCCCTTCTTTAAAGCAAATCTAGTGCTCTGCATAAAAGAACTCCAATCTTGATGTCGACAGTGGGGTCAACTTGCTCCGGGAAAACAAAGGGATAGGGCGTACCGGTTACAGCTGCCAGGAAGTGATCCAGTGAATTTACG